TATATACTCCCCGTTTCAATTTATGTGAATTTATTTTTTTTTTAGTTTGTGTAAAAAATAATGAACAATTTTCTTATTTGAAAACAATTTACCTTTATGCAATGATTTATAGTCACACAAAATATACGTGCCTCATTTTACACTACAAATTCAAAAGTCTTTTTTTTTTTTAAATTTCGTACCCAATTAAATAAATTTACATAAATTGAACCGGAGAAAATAATACCATATTACCAATACCAATGGCTCTCAAATCAATTCAATGAGTTCTCTCTTTTGAGAACAACATACAGCTGGCGGAGATTTTCCATCCACTCAAATCTATGCATTCCCATATTCTGTTAAAAAGAGCATTCCACCAAAATTCCTTTTCATGCAATTATCAACCGCTCTCTCTCTCTCTCTCTCTCTCTAAATATCAACGTCAAACGAGTAACGACCTCGTCAGTCGTCAGCTAGCTTTGTAATCTTTCTCCAAATGGCAACTGAGGGTCACCATCCATTCAATAACAAAACTTTATTATTGTTACTACCTATGGGCATGGTCAATGATGGACAAGAAATCACTTTTAATTTCATGGTGTAATTACCATGTTATTTTTTGAATCTCTTTTATTTTCTTTGTAATTTTATTCTTTTTAAAATAAATTAACTTTTAAAATTCATTTTTTACATTATTTAATTTTTATTTCCTTATTTCTCGTTTCCCAACCGTTAATTCACGTATTTTTACATAATTTCTCATATTTTATTTCTTTCTTTATTTTTTTTGTTTTTTTATAATTAGCTAAGTTATTATTCTAATTTTTCTAAAAAATTATACCTCGTAATCTTAGAAAGAATAAGTTATCCACGAACTTGACATATAATGAGTGATGTCATTAAAGTTGAACTTTGTTATTGGATGGGTTATATGCAAGCTTAACTATGTTAAAATGATAGATTATTTTTTAATATTAAATAATATTTTTTATTTTCCAATATTTATTTTTTGTGATTCCATGTAGTTGCTCATATTTTTTTTTATTTTCTTCATTTAGCATAATTGTGCTATTATTCTAGTTTCTAAAATACTCCTCCTAATATACAAATAATGAAATATTAATAAACTTAGCATATAATGAGTGATATCATTAAAGTAGAATATCATTGTTGAATGAGGTTATAGACTTATATTTTTTTTTAATTATATTTACTTAAATTATATTGAAACTTATTTTAAGTTATGTTGTAATTTTACATCAGAGTATTATGTTAATATTTTTTTAGATTTTAAATTTATTTTATAATTTCACTTCCATTTTATTTGCTTTAGTATTATTCACTTAATAATTCAGATTGCACGCCATTCATTTTTTAGTAAGAATTAATAGTTAAATTTTTCGTAAAATATTTGAGTAATGTTATGGCATTATATTTATAAATATTAATCATATTATCAAGCATGCAGTCCATGATGTTCTTAGAAAATATGTACTTTTAGTTTTTATGATTGATTAAAGTTAAATATATATTAATTATTTTTATCATATTAGCTACAAATATATAATTAGTAATTAATATATTTTTAAGAAAAAATATATGTAACGACCCGACCGGCCGTTTTGAGAGTTGTAGCCTCATTCCCCCATTTACTGCTCAATTTTATGCGTTACAGTTGTTATGTGACTTGCCGGGATTATTAGTTTGGGTCCTGTGAGGTTTTAGGAATGTATTGGAACACTTAATTTCAAGGTTTAAATTTTAAGTTGAAATAGTGATCGGATGTCGACTTATGTGTAAACGACCCCGGAATTGAGTTTTGATGATTCCAATAGCTCTGTATGGTGGTTTTGGGTTTAAGAGCATGTCCGAAAAATTATTTAAAAGTCCGTAGTGGAATTTGGCTTGAAATGGCGAAAGTTAAATTTTTGGAAAGTTTGACCGGGGAGTTGATTTTTTGATATCAGAGTCAGAATCCAGCTCTGAAAATTTTCATAGCTCCGTTATGTCATTTATGACTTGTGTGCAAAATTTAAGGTCAATCGGACGTAATTTGGTAGGTTTCGGCATCGAATGTATAAGTTGGAAATTCTTAAGTTCCTTAAGCTTGAAGTGGGGTATGATTCGTGGTTTTAGCATTGTTTTATGTGATTTGAGGGTTCAACTAAGCTCGTATGATATTTTTAGGACTTGTTGGTGTATTTGGTTTAGATCCTGAAGTCCTCCGGTGAGTTTCGGATGGTAAACGGATCAAAATTTGGACTTAAACATCTGCTAGAAAATTTTCTGCTGGAAATAGGCTGGAAATCGAGGCTGGAAATAGGTTAGAAATCGAGGGCAGAAAATCAAGGGCAAAGCATGGACAGAAACTTTAAGTTATAAAAAGGGGATTTTGTCCCATTTTCCATTTTTGACAAATTAAAAGTTGGGGAGAGGCGATTTTTGAGAGATTTTCAAGAAAAATATCGGGGTAAGTAATTCTAACTCGGATTTGGTCAATATACACGAATATATCATTATTTTTATTATTTAATTAGTGTTTTGAGATGGAAACTTCGGGAAGATTGTAGAAATTTTATAAAATAAATTTTTGAGATTTCAATGTCGATTCGGAGTCGGATTTGAGTGAAACCAGTATGATTGGACTCGTAATTGAATCAGTTATCGGATTTTATGAGTTTCGTCGGATTCCGAGACGTGAGCCCCACATGCGATTTTTTAGTTAAATTTCAGATTTTTTTGGAAACTTGTATTTTCTTATGGAATTTATTCCCATAATTGATATTGATTGAATCAAATTAATTATGATTTGATTCGAGCCGATCAGAGTCGGAAAATCGAGGAAAAAATATATTACTTGACTACTTGAGCATGATTTTGAGGTAAGTGACTTGTCTAACCTTGTGTGGGGGAAATCCCCCTTAGGATTAGTATTGATGTGAAAATGTTAATGTGTTGAAAGTCGTGTACATGAGGTGACGAGTGTGTACACGGGCTAAATGTGAAAGATTATGTCTTTAAATTGTGTAGAGCATTGTTACATATTAATTAAATTATTTTATTCTGTTATATTCATCATCCTTAATATATTTTCGTATCTTAAATTTGCCTGGCTTGTTCCTGCTAAGTGTGTTACCTCTTTAGTTGAAACTCTGTTTCTTTGTTCTGTGCATTATTTGAAAGATGAATTTCTTAAATTTAAATATTATTAAAAATGAAATATTTTACATTTAAAAATTTGATATTTAGACAAGGTGTTAAATTTGTGAAATATTTTTTTTGCCGAATATTTTGTGAGATTTTTGTACTCATTGTGATTGAGCCGTGAGCTCCTTATTGTGAAAAAAATATTGTTGTTGATTTATTTTGGCATGAGCCGTGAGCTCTTTATTGTAAAAAAAAATTATTGCTGTTGATTTATTTTGGTAAGTTGAGATATTTGGGCATTTGGGGTGCAAATTGTGATATATTGTGATGTTGATACGCATGCGGTGGTATAATGTCTGGGTGTTGAAACGCAAGCGGTGAGATACGGGTGGCTTGATACGCGTGGCTAGAAGGGGAACTACTAGAAGTCATGCGGTGTGATAAGGGTGGCTAAAACGCGGGATGCTATTTCGGAAAAATTATTTTCTTTAAAATTTAATGTGAAGGCTCCTGCGGTGATATAAGAAAATGCGATATTGTGAATTTATTTATGATTTGGGACTACGAGGCGGTACCTCGGGAGTGCTCTTGTTGATATTTTTTTATGGCTACATTGCCTTTGGTTATTTTTGTTGTGTTTCCTTAAAGTTGTAAATTTTTATTTTTCTTCCGCGAGGTGTTAATTGCCCTTATTATGTGTAGTTAAATTGTGACATATTACTTACTTGATTTATCCCCATTGTCATTATTGTTATTATATTGTTAAACTTTTCTCCCTGTCTTTTATTATTCCAATAGGGCCTGACATGACCTCGTCACTACTTTACCAAGGTTATGCTTGGCACATACTGGGTACCGTTGTGGTGTACTCATACTACGTTTTTGCACATATTTTTATGCAGATCTAGGTACATCTTATCAGACTAGACATCAGTGAATTATCCGTACGAGTAGACTTTGAGGTATATCTGTCAGCGTCCGCAGACTTCGGAGTCCCCTTCTATCTTATTATGTTGTCTTCCTTATTTCCTTTAGACTGTGATGTATAGAGACATTGAGAATAAATTATTAGAAGCTTGTGACTTATTTCTACTGGGTTTTGGGAGTTGAAATTGTTAAATTTGCAGTTCTTATTTATTCGATTGTTGATGATTAAATTTCTATTTATATTCCGGTATTCCGCATTGATAGGCTTACCTAGTCTTAGAGACTAGATACCATCACGACATCCTATAGAAGGAATTTGGGATCGTGACAATATCTATCTTAAATGTCAAATTTAATATTATTATAAAGGAATATATTTGTTAAATCTTAACTTTTAATTTTTGATAATTAACTTTATATTTAAAATTCAATCTAATTGTATAATGATACTTGTGCCACCAAACAGTAAATTTGTAATTAAACTGTAATTACATTATGACAAACAAATAAGTCATCGTAACTATAATATTATGTAATTACTACCCTAGTATTTACATCCATTCCAATTAATCCCCTATGTGTTAGTACTTTTTTTAGTGCTCTACTTAACGCCAACCAAATTAACGGCATGCTTAAATTAACAAAATCTTTTTACCCACGGCGTTCTTTCGTCCCTCTTCGCCCATTTCCATGCTTCTTCCATCCGAGTCCCTTAGTCAACTGTTCTCAGCCTTCTATAAATTCTCTTCTTTTCCTCTCATATCACATCACAATCAAACCGCAATTTCTTCATTCCCTGTCTTACTCTCTCCCAGTCTCTGTCTTTCTTTCAAACGTTCGAAAGGTACATAACTCTTTTTTTAACACAACAACATAGCGTAAAGGAACTTCCATCTTAACTTGAATTACAGCTTCTTGAGTTTTCTGTAAGGCAGGATAAGCAAATGACTGGGTTTTTCTCTTCATCCAAACCTGCACATTCTTCTCATAACTCTTCCTCTCCATCCCCACCTCACACCTTCTGTGAAACTTTAATGGAGGATTCATTAAAGAACGCTGAGGCAATTATTAAAAGATGGGATCTTGATAATGGCTCCTCTAACAGCTCTTACTGCACAATATCAAATCTCTTTCGCGATAATCGAGCAGAGGCTAAGCAGTTTGTGGATGCTGTAATCGACTTACAGCATGCTATGCGATTTGTTATCAAGGAAAGTTCCAGCTCCCAACAGCTTGTTCGAGCTCAAAATCTCATGCAAATAGCCATTAAGAGACTTGAGAAAGAGTTCCGCACCATTTTGGCAGGGAATCGCTACTTCTTAGACTCTGAAAGTACTGCCTCAAGAGAATATTCCAACCGGTCCAGTACTGCTTCAGATGAAGATCAAGCTTCTGAAGATGATAATACTGTTGAGATACAAGCTCGTCTTTCCGAGGTTTCAATTACTGAGGAAGGTGAAAAGATTTCTGTAACAGCGGATCTGAGAGCAATTGCTGATTGTATGATTGAAGCTGGGTACGGAAAAGAGTGCGCCCAGATTTACCAACTTAATCGAAAATCAGTCATCGACGAGACATTGTATTGCCTGGGAATTGAAAATTTTAATATTTCGGTTATTCAGAAAATGGATTGGGATGTTCTTGAGAAGAAAATAAAAAGTTGGTTGAGTGCTGTTAAGGTTGCAGTTAGTACTCTACTTTATGGCGAGAGGATTCTCTGTGACCAAGTCTTCGCCGTCTCCGACAACATTAGAGAGTCTTGTTTCTCGGAGATTGCTAAAGACAGTGCTCTGGCGCTGTTCACTTTCCCGGAGATGGTGGCGAAGTACAAGAAATTGTCTATTGAGAAAATGTTTCGTATTCTCGATCTCTACGACGCTATTTCTGAACTCTGGAGTGAAATCGAATTGATTTTCGGCTTTGACTCCACGGCGGTTGTCAGATCCCAGGCGATGAGCTCAATGGAGAAGCTTCGCGAAGCTGCTGGAACCATCTTATCGGAGTTTGAATCGGCGATTAAGAAAGATTCGTCCAAAGTGGTACCTGGTGGCGGAATCCACCCGCTAACTCGCTACGTCATGAACTACCTTGTTTTCCTCAGTGATTACAGTGGGCCTATCTCTGAAATCGTCGCCGATATGCCGGTATCAATGAAGTCGCCACTGCCGGAATCTTATCTATTGAGTCCAATCGCCGACGATGAGAACTCTGCTGCTTGCGTCGTTTCCGTACGGCTCGCTTGGCTTATCCTCGTTCTCCTCTGCAAACTCGACGGCAAAGCAGGGTTCTACGGTGACGTGCCGTTATCCTATTTGTTCTTAGCAAACAACTTAAACTACGTCCTCTCCAAGGTCCGAGAATCCAGCCTGAAGCTCCTATTAGGATCCATTTGGCTCTCGAACCACGAAGCAAAGGTAGAACAGTACATGGAAAATTACAAGAGAATGGGCTGGAGCAAGGTGCTGACATCACTGCCGGAGAATTTAACGGCCAAGATTTCTCCGGCAGAAGTGAACCAGTGCTTCTGTAAATTCAATTTGGGTTTCGAAGAGGCGTATCGAAAACAGAGTTCATGGGTGATACCCGACCCGAAACTTCGTGACGAAGTCAAAATATCACTGGCGAAGAAGATTGTTACAGCCTATCGAGCATTTTACGAGAAGAACTGGGAAACTGTTTCAAGGAGTGGGAGCGGTGGCGAAGTGGAGTCAATTGTCAGATTTGTCCCTGATGATTTACAAAATTACTTATCCGATTTATTTTATGGAGCTGGTTTTTCAGAAAATAGCAGTACGTCGCACGGGTCAACTTCAACGTTCTCATCTCCATCACGTTGATAAATCCTACTCTTGCTAAGGCATTTAAAGCGAGGTTGATGTTATTGAGTGCAGACTAAGCATTTCCTGTAAATGAAAAGAGATTGTAGATAGTAGTTTGAAAGCAATGATAATTATGCTTGTTACTACCAAATGAGTATTATAAATGTTCTTTTTGTTATATGATCAATTTCACCAGAAATTTTTATATCCAGACACTTCCTCAAATCGATATAGATATTTGTAAAATTATTTTGTTCTATTCAAATAAATGATGAGATGTTCAAGAAATTAGTGTACGTAGTAAACTTTGCATACCCGTGACTTAATTCTTCAATAATTAATTCTCCAACAATTAATTTATTAAGCTCGGTCCTAAATTCATCTTTTTCATTCTCATCGCCTCTTTAACGGTCTCATGTGACAGACGAAAATTCAAACCAAAAATATTACCGTTCAGTTTATGCATTGAGTTTCGTTGAAACCATGTTGGTTTGTAGTGTGATCCACTTAGAGGCGTTAAACTGAACATGCATTGGGTTTTCTAAACTGAACAGTTTATGCATTGGGTTTTCTAATTTACGATATCCACTTAGAGAAACATGTTATCCCACAAGATTTCACCACCACGTGAAACAGAAAAAGAAGATAGCTCGTGACTACAAGTGTTCAAAGACTTAGTATAAAGGAGAAAACCATTTCATTAAAAAGACTTGTAGATGCCAGAATATTATAACATAATGTACTGACATTAATTCCATGAAGAACAATCTTCTTGTTTTATCCTATAGCAAATGTAAATTAAACATCTTCTGGTTTTTGCGCTTGCAAGTTAGAAGGCATTCCTTACACTGACATATAATTGCCTAATCAGTTTCAAAAGAATCGTGACAAACATTGAATCTAATATGTAAGTGGTAAGTTACTCGATTGTTCGAAAATTTTGAAGTATTTGTTGGTGCATGACAAGCAATGTTTTTAATTCATTACTGCACGAATAGTCAAAATAATCAAAATCCCTATCCACCAAGGATGAAAGAATGGGATGAATGAATATTATAATGCATTTAGAAATGTGAAATCATTACCAATCAGACCCCTGAGTCTAAATGCAGCAGCAGCAATATATACTTGAGCTCGTAGCGTTCCTTGGGCTTGTAGTTGGACATATAGAAGATGGAGTAAAAGAAAGATAAGGGCCAAGTGCACTAACCACTTTTAAGCGTGTTATTTACAATATATCTATAAATTTACGATGTATTTAAAGATTAGCCTTTTTTTCAAACTTCAAGACTAGGTATCATGAATTTTTTTATCCTAAATTTTTGAGCTGCTAATTTGAAATTCAGGATTTAGTGTCCTAAATTATTAAGCTGTTAATTTAAAATACAGGACTAAATATTCTGAATTTCTGAACTGCTAATTTAAAATTCAAGACATAAAATTTTATTTTTTTGGGCACAGTATTCGAATTTTAGGATACGATGTCGTGATGTTTGAACCTTAGTTTTAAATTTCAGGTCGATGTGTCATGAATTTTGAAAAAATTGACTAATCATTAAATATGTTGTAAACTGTGAATATATTAAAAATAACATGCTTAAAAGTGGCTATATTGTGTTATTTCCACGAAAGATAAAGACCAGAGGATATATGGTAACTTGAATTGGACCTAGCCCAGGCCATCACAATTAAGTAGCTCGCCCAACTCGCTGTCTTCTATTTTCAGGAAAATTTGCACTGTGATTGGAGAGACAGAGAGAAATTTCAATCTTTTAATTCGAAATGGGAAATGGAAATATGGAATCAGCAGTGAGGATGGTCATGCATTCAAGCTGCTTCTTTCTTGCCAGGGTCGGATCTAATGTGTTGAATAGTAAGGCTCGAATAGTAAGGCTTGTGTATCCCCAAATTTAGAGGACCTCATTTTAAAAAAATAATAGGTTTATAGATATTTAGAAAATAATATTTAATACTTCTACTATAAAATAGAGTTTTTAATATAAAATAAAAGAAAGCTCTTAGATGCATAAATAAAGTACGGAAAAGAGTCATAAATGTCTTTAACGTATTAGAAATAACTCAAAAATGCCTTCCTTCCACGTATGAGTTCAAATTTGCCCTTAATATTATTTTTAGGCTTAAAAATGCCCCTCTCTTAACGGAAAGATGACATGGCATTGATGAACATTTTAACATTAAGGGCAAATTTGAACACATAGGTGGAAGGAGGGCATTTTTGAACCATTTCTAATTACATTAAGGGCATTTCTCATCCTTTTCCATTTTAATTAAACATGTATCATTTATTTAGTTTGAAAAAAAGTATTTTTTTTTACTAAAAACTGAAAAAAATAAAAATATTTTTTTTCCAGTTTTTACAAAAAATACTGCTTTAAAAAGCTGAAAAATATTTTCTAAAATAATATTTTTGTAAAAACTGAAAAAAAACTGAAAAGCAATTTTCTAAAGTAATATTTTTGTAAAAGCTGAAAAAAATATTTCCTCTTCTTTTTCCTTCCTTGTTTGTCCATATGCTTTCTGAGTTCATTTTTTTAAATATATTTTAGGTCTTCTAATGAGTTAATACATCAAAACTGAAATATTTTCGTTTTTTCCAGTTTTTAGTAAAACAAAATTTACTTTTTTCCAGACTAAATAAATGCTACATGTTTAATTAAAATGTCATTTTTTCCAGAACTCAGAAAGCCAATCTATTCCTAAATAAATGCTACATGTTTAACTAAATAAATGCTACATTTTTCGAGACTAATGAATTTTTTTTACTAAAAAATAAAAATATTTCAGTTTTGATATACTGACTCATTAGAAGAACTAAAATATATAAAAAAATAAACTCATAAAGCATATGGACAAACAAGGAAGGAAGAAGAAGAGGAAATATTGTTTTTCAGCTTTTACAAAAATATTGCTTTAGAAAATTGCTTTTAAGTTTATTTCTTCAGTTTTTACAAAAATATTATTTTAGAAAATATTTTTTAGCTTTATTAAAGCAGTTCTTTATGTAAAAACTGGAAAAAAAATATTTTTATTTTTTTCAGTTTTTAGTAAAACAAATTTACTTTTTTTCAGACTAAATAAATGCTACATGTTTAATTAAAACGGAAAAGGGTCAGAAATGCCCTTAACGTATTAGAAATGGCTCAAAAATGTCCTCCTTCCACCTATTTGTTCAAATTTGCCCTTAATATTAAAATGCCCATCAATGCCATGTCATCTTTCCGTTAAGAAAGAGGCATTTTTAAGCCTAAAAATAACATTAAGGGCAAATTTGAACCCATAGGTGGAAGGAGGACATTTTTGAGCCATTTCTAATACGTTAATGGCATTTCTGATCCTTTTCCGAATAAAGTAATAATTTGACTTACTTAAACATTGGTGATTGAATAGTTTTCTTGTAATGACCTGACCGGTCATTTTAACTTTTAGAAATTCGTTCCCTAAAATAAAACTCTCCGAACATGCTTTTACTAATTTATGACTTGTGGGGATGGTTGGTTCGGGATTTGGAAGCGTTTGGATTGAAATCGGAACACTTGGTTCCTTAAGTTAGCTTTAAATGGACAAGTTTGACTTCGGTCAACATATTGAGAAAACGACCCCGGAATTAGGATTTGACGGTTCCAATAGGCTCGTATGATGATTTTGGACTTGGGCGTATGTCCGAATCGAATTTTGGATAACTCGGGAGCATTTTGACGCTTAATAGTAAAAATCAACTATTTGAAGGTTTTAACTTCTTTAAATTTGATTTGGGGTAGGTTTTTGAGTAATTGAAGTCCGTTTGGAATTTCGGGTTTGAGAATAGTTCCGTATAGTGATTTAAGACTTGCACGCAAAATTTCGTGTCATTCCGAGTAGTTTAAGTATATTTCGACGCATTGGAAGTAATTTGAAGAACTTGAAAATTTAAGTTTGAATCAATTGGTTTAGGGTATGATTCTTAGATTTGATATAGTTTTACGTGTTCCGAGAGTTTGAGCGAGTTCGTTTTATGATTTTAAACCTGTTGGTGTATTCGTGCGGGGTCCCAGGGACCCCGAGTATCAACCAGACGAGGCTCGGACCAAGTTGGAAGTTGGGAGCCAAAACTGAAGCTCCTAGCTACTATCAGAATCGCACCTGCGCTTGGCCAGCCGCAGGTGCGACATTCGCAGATACGATAGAAGCTCGCAGGCGCGGCACTCGCATATGCGAGATTTCTTCGCAGAAGCGGAAAAGGGAAGGGTGCAATCGATCGCAGATGCTGAGAATTTGCGCACCTGCGAACGCGCAGGTGCGAAGAAGGGTGCGCAGAAGCGACCTTGGCCCATGCGAGTGAAACTCGCACCTGCGAAAGCCGCAGATGCGAATACCTTCTGCAGATGCGAAAAATCTGTCTGGGCAGAACCTTAAAATGGATGAAGCTCAATCCATTTTTGTTCATTTTTCCTCCATGTTTGCGCGATTTCAGAGCTCTTTGTGAGAAGTTTTCAACTAACAACTTGGAGGTAAGTTAACTCTACACCCTTTGAGTTAAATATATAGATTATGGGTAGATTGTAACTAGTAAATCTTAGAAATCAAGGGTTTAGGTGAAAAACTTATTATTATTTTTTATAAAAATGAGATTTTAACCACGAAAATGGTTATGGAATTGGATATAAATTATATATTTGAGTTATTGAGATTATGGGTAACGCTTTTATTCAAAAATTTCTGTAATCCGTGCACGTGGGCCCGGGGTGAATTTTAGGAATTTTATCATTTTGGATAGAGCAATTTATTTAATAGATGAATTTCGAATTATTGAACATATATTAATTATTTATATAACTTTTGGATAGTTTCGGATTTTTCGGCATTGAATCGAGAATTTTACGCAACGCGATAATCGAAAAGTGGACTTTGAGACGAGGTAAGTCTCTTGTCTAATCTTGTGAGGCGAAAATTACCCCATAGGGATTAAATTGAATAATTGCTGCTAATTGCGGGGGCTACGTACGCACGAGGTGATGAGA